TTGACACTGAAGAAATGCGGCATTCTACAAAGCGAAACGCTTCGCGGACATCTGAATCTGACCGTTTCGCAAGATTTGGGATGGACGGTCCAGAGACGCCCAGCACATTTCCCATGCTTGCGACCGTGGGACGACTCCAACACCGCTACCTCACGTAGATTAACTGCAGATTCATTCTTAGCTGGAACAAAAAACACGCTCGACTGCACGCAGTGGGAGGCTGATGGCCGTGCTCGGTATCATTGAAAACGAGAGAACACATCTGAGTCTGGGTCGATTTCTGATTCTGAGTTTGCACAACGCGAGCTCTGTTGTGGTATGCAGTGGAGCGCTTCGAACATAACGGAACAATCGAGCTCCGTTCTGTGATATCATGCTCGCGTGAACGGTCTTGTGCTTTGTCGCGGTGCCGCTGGTGCAGTCGCCGGCGCCGTCACGCCACTACGAGCCTAGACGACTACGCTCTCGTGCATGAACAAGTGCTTCTAGTCGACACGAGAGCTTGAGTTGAAACGAACGCTTGGAATCGGTGCACGATCGGTATGCCTACTGTATGCACGTCGATGCGTTGGTCGATGAATGCGTCTGATTCGTCGAGCGTCAGGTGGATGCTTGTGGAATCAAGGTCCTATGGCCAGGATCAAAGGCACGACAACAACTGAGTTTGCTCAGTGCTCTCTGATACGCCGATGCTATCAGGCCACTAGCTTACCAGCGCAGCTTGGCAACACAGAGCCAAGATACGCCATATATGCGACGCCAGCGCGTCTGATACGAGCACGCGCCACCTCGATCCTGTCCTTCATACTCCAATTTGCTCGAGAGCAAGCTCCCACCAACGACTGCAATGAAGACAACGGTCGCCACGTCCGCTCTCCTTCTCGCCACGACCGCGATGGCCTCGTCGTCGCTCGACCGCGCGTCGCTCCTGCGCGAGTTCAACGCGTGGAAGCTCAGCGACGCTGGCGCCGAAGCCTTTGAGCGCGGCTTTGTGCCCGAGACCATCGGTCGGTCTGTGCCCGAGGCCGAGAACCTGCTCCTCGACCGGTTCCTCGACACCAAGCGGGAAGTCGCGCGCCTCAACATTGAGCACCCGGACGCACACTTTTCGCTCGAGAACCCGTTCGTGCTGCTCAACGAAGCCGAGTTTGCCGCCTTTGTCAAGGGGTCGTTTGGCGACGGTCCGCGCCAGCTGCGCGCCGCCAGTGACGACGACCTTGTTTCGTCGGATGTGCTCGACGTCAAGGCCACCAGCAAGGACTGGACGACGCATGCGTGCAGCGCGCCGCTGCGCAACCAGGGCCAGTGCGGGTCGTGCTGGGCGTTTGCGGCCGTCGCTGCTGCCGAGTTTGGCCACTGCCTCGTCACGGGTGCACGCCTCGACCTCTCGCCGCAGCAACTCGTGAGCTGCGACAGCTCCAGCGGCTACGGCTGCCAGGGCGGCTGGCCCTGGAAGGCGCTCGACTACATCTCCAAGAACGGTCTCTGCACCGCCGCGGCGTACCCGTACACGTCGGGGTCGAGTGGCCAGAACGGCGCGTGCCAGTCGTCGTGCAAGAAGACGCCGCTCCGCGTCGGCGCGTCCGTGAGCATCCAGGGCGAGGCCAAGCTCACGTCGGCACTCGACAAGCAACCCGTCGTCGTCGTCGTCGAGGCCGGCAACAACGTCTGGAAGAACTACAAGAGCGGCGTCGTCAAGTCGTGTCCTGGCGCGCAGTCGGACCACGCCGTCTTGGCCGTCGGCTACGACGCTGGCAGCTACAAGATCAAAAACTCGTGGGGCGCCAGCTGGGGCAACGGCGGGTACATTTCTCTGCAGCGCGGCGTCGGCGGCAAGGGCATGTGCAACGTCGCCGAGCACCCGTCGTACCCGCCGCTCAAGTAAGCATCGTCTCTGTGTCGTTGGACAAGTCGCAAGTGGCGGTCACTGTCGAGTGTGTGTGTACGTTAATCCATCATCTATTAGTTGGATCCTGTGGACGTATTCGCACAATATTGTAATACTTGCACGACTGGGTCGATGAGTGGGAAGGGTGGATACAATGCATCTCATAGAGCCTGAAGTGAAGATAGATAGAGCTCGCAAAGACGCAATGTAGCTTAGTTGGAGACGTGGTAGCAGCCGCACTGAGTTGGAGCGATGCAAATGAATCGAAACCTCGGTCCAAGAGGCAACTGGGCAGCCGCAGGAGTGGCGCCTGTGGATCTTGAAACGTTGTCTGGAAAGAGGCACCGTATCGTACATCGGGTGCGCAATTGCTGTCAAGTAGCGACGAAGAGCACCCATTACGGTAGTGGCACCTATCGCATAGGTGCGAATACCTCAAATTGCACTAAAGAAGCACCCACTGCGCAAAACTAAGCAAATGGAGTGGAACGGCAGTGACAGCGAAGACGACGAGCACGGGGATGGCTCGCCAAAGTGGCCATACGCGAACGCCTTGGCCAAGCTAACGTCCGAGGACGACTTTCTCTGCACGCCGAATCTCCCGCGCCAAGTGAAGCCACCGCCGATTAGCATCGGCGATACCACCTTTCGCTGGCCGCTGACGAAGCCGCAAGCGCAGCAGCTCGAGACGCTGCATGGCACCAACGCGGTCATTACCGCGCCAGAGCTCTGCATCCCGGACTTCGACGCATGGTGGGCGACCATGAGTCCTATGGTTCTTGCCCCCGCGCGCCAAGTGCTTGACATCGACAAAACTGCGGCCGTTGGCGTAACGCTCTCGCACCTCGTGATCGATGTCAGTGGGTCTGGCGATGTCCTCAAGGCGCAAGCTGCGACACCCAACACGTTTGGCTCGGTCATAATCATTTTGCCCTCGGCGCGCAAGGGCGGCGCCATCAAGTTCGCGCATGGCGGGGCCGCCGAGCGGTTTGACGCGCCGCCGTCAGCAACGTTCATGCGCGTCGCTGTGACGTATCTCCAGACAACGATCACGTCGGCACGCTTGTCGTCCGGCTGCCGCTACGCTCTGGTGCTGAACCTCGTGGCCCTCGACGGTCCGCGGTCGCCGATGCCGCCGGCGATGCTCCGGGCCATCGACGCGTTCAAGGAGCTGGCGGCGCGGCCAAGTCACAAGCACCGGCGCATCGCGTGTGAGCTCAAGCCCATCAACCACAAGCTTTTGTGGGAGAAGCTCGGACCCACAGACAAGTACTTGGTCGACGTGCTCTTGGCAACCGGCGCCTACGACGTTGTCCTCGTCGGCTTCAAGAAAGAGCGCGACTACGACGCGGAGCCGCCTTACGACAGTGCCAACGAGGGCGACTGGGACTATGACAAGCCTCAGTACAAGATCATCAACACGGTGGCGCGCTTCAAGGAGCATCCTGCGTGTCCGATCCCGGCTGCGATGCACCTCATGCTTGTGACTCGGGGTGCCCACGCCTTTCCCGATATGGAAGATCGACTTGAGAACGTTGCGATTCCAGCAACCAGCGTCTTGTTTTGGCCCAAGCAGTTTCGCGCGGAGATCATCGGTGTCCACCGCGCACTTCAGATGCTGCAAAATGCGATCAACGACCCAGCGGCGGACCTGCTCGGGTACGCTTCCGTGCACGACTTGGCCCAAAGCACCAGCGCAATCTTTGGTTGCGGCAGTCTCAAGGATCCCATCCCAGCGGTCGATCCGATCCTACTGTACGACCCGAGACCGGCCACCACCACGTTTGTCACGACGATGGGCTCTCTGCTGCGCCAGCTCAATGACGTCGACGTCGTCATCAGCTTTTTACGGGACGCTGTCACCATCAGGCCCAACACGCCGCTCGACGTCGTCGCTCCCGTCGTGCACACGCTCTTGAGCACGTTTGGCTGGATGCGGCTCGCCGACGCCATGCTCGGTCTCGTCCAGCGCTGGCTCTGCTCGACAAGTAGGTCGCTGCTCCAGCTGCTTTCGAGCTTGGAGGGCGTCAGTGCGCAGCCCGTGTGCGCTGCGCTGCGACAGCCTTGCTTTGGCGAGTTTCTCAAAGCTGCGTGGTCGACTCTGGTCCACCACGATCCACTGCAGTTTGACTACACCGGCTCGAATTGGCGCACGGCATTCTTGTGCGACCTTTTGCTTCTCGGCGCGCACGTCGAGCGATCGATTCCGGAAGACACGAGAGAGAACTGGCTCGGCGCGTACTTGCCACCGACGCTCATCTCGGTCGTGGACGACTACATTCATCCGCGGAGGTCGGCCCTCGCCGCTCTCCAAGACAACATGTATAAGCGCAACGCCGCGGCACTACTGGCGCATCTTCCCCAGGCGCTGCTTGACGCCGTGACCAAGCGCCCGGAGATGCAGCTGGCGCCGTTCGCGGACGCGCTCCTCGCCGCCTTTGATGCGATGCGGTCGACGACACAGCCAAGGACGCTCGACGTGGGCTTTGGTTTCGCCAACTCGGATAGGCTGCGGGACCTCATGGGCCCCGGTCCTTCGCGAGCTTACTAGTCGTGCTCGATACGGCAAATCGCTGCACGGCTGATTTCCTATCCTCGCTTTGGAGTCAATGGGGTCTCTCGAGAGCTCGTGAGCGCGCCTATGTCCACACGCCCATGCCAGTGTCGTCGGCCCTTCAAGCCCTCGTGGCGGCTCATTTGGTGGGCATTGCACCCATCCTTGCGCACTTGACCAACGACCTGCGCGATAATGCGCAACGCACCACGGAGCTGTCGCAAAGCCAGCCGACCAAGAACGCTCTTCTGGTGCTCGCGACGATGGCGCCCGATGCGATTCCGGCGTTCACGGAAGCTTGGCTCTCGGCGCTGCCTGCTGCTATCGACACCACGCTCCACATGTTCTATCCGATCGTCGTCTGGATGGGCACGCAACTCGGCCCTTTTTATGGCAGTGCACCCGCGCGTCTTACGACAGAGTGCTTAGCGAGGCTGCGGACCGCCCGCGCCCCAGTCTCGGTGGAGCCTGCGCACGAGATGGCCGACATCGCCATCGATCCAGAGCACTGCGCCGAGTGCCTCGAGGTCGCCGGCTTTCTTCATGACGGCACGAGAGCCCATCTGGATCTCAAGCAGTCATCGTGGAGACTCTGCTCCATCGTCCTTGCGTGCGTCACCGCCCACTCTGACCGCCTCACGATGGTGAAGCTCGGGGATGCGAACACCAAGGGCATACTCAAGCTTCCGCCGCCAGCCGGGGTCTCGCTGGCCGAGTATACGACCACCCAGAACGACCTAGCACACATTGACCGCTGCATTGCTACGCTCGTCGATGCGACCCAACGTGCAACGAAGCGCCCGCGGCACTATTGAGCTCTTCGCCTAAGCGGTGCGATTTCGCATTCATCTCGATACAAGAACGTTTGAAAGACGAATTTGAGTTGCGCAGAAGAGTCCCGTCTATGGTTGACGCCTGTCAGTGAGGATTCTTCATGACAAGAAGTAAGTTGTTTTGGAGAAGAAGTTGTTTTGGGGAAGAAGTTGCTTTAGGAGAAGAAGTTGTTTTGGCAAAAAGCAGACGCGGGTGCAAAGTGAGTGACCCGTATCAGCAAAGAGAAATAGAGAAATCTGCACGAGATCTTTATAGTATCGGCGACTTGATGTGCAGTTTCGGCGGCGTCATCAATATGTAGTGGACCAGAAGTTCGGAAAATGGGCTCTCGACGCTAGTCTCGATGTCTCGACAGAAAACGAGTACTTGTAGAAAGTTTCTACTCGTTTTTCTAGAGTAAAGGTGGATTGTTTCTCAATTCTTATCGTGCTTGACCATGCCAATACCGGGTTTCCTTTACTGTACTCGTAATCCATGTAAGAATCGGTGATCTCGCCGCCGATCCTGTAGCAACCATGCAGCTCCAGGATGAGATTCGCACTCGCAACGGCGTCATCGTCAGAGCTGCAGATGTGACCTATCAATCATGAATACCGCCTGTCTACACTGCATGTCAAAGAGCAAGTGCAACGTCGCAGATCGAACGTTCCAAACAACTGTTCCGGCATATGCAGCACATCGTACGGTGCAGAACCGGTGCCACCCAACGCGCACGCAAGGACGATGGGGCAGAATCTCCACGATGACTGCTTCAGACCCAGCCTCACACCTCGCGCTCTCTGGAAGATCTCTAGGCTATGCCTCTGGTGATCACTCAATACGGCTATGACTCCAATGCGTACTACTCTTCGTTTCCATAGATATACACCGAAACTACGTTTCCCTCTTTCAATATGAGTAGGTTCTCGTGACAGTATGCTGCTGTTCCTTTATCGCCCGTATCCACTCTCTCCACAACACATGGTTTCAGCGCGCGCGTCTGATAAGTCACCTTTGGATCGATCCAGCGCTCCAGTCATGTATCTTTCAGAGCCCTGTCTACATCGGCAGTGTCAACCCCTTGAGCTCATTTTCACATTTCCATTCGCCTTCACACCAAGATGCAACGCATTGCGATCGCCAGCGCCGCCCTTGCCGCCGTGGCCGCGGCCAACGACATTTTCGCCCAAGAAAACCTGGACGTGATCAAAGAGCTCGAGCAGTGGAAGAAGAGCCAAGCCGGCAAGAAGGCCATCGAGTCGGGTTGTGCCCAAGCCCGAGTCGAGCGGCCGCCAGGAAGCCGGCACGTCTGTCGAGGCGCTCGAGCTCGAGCGCTTCAAGGCGACCAAGAAGGTGGTGGAGCAGCTCAACAAGGACTACCCGGACGCCGAGTTCTCGGTTGACAACCCGTTCGCGCTCTTGACCGAAGACGAGTTTGCGCAGTACGTCATGGGTGCGTTCGGCCAGGACCAGCGCAAGCTGCGCACCGTGGACCACGTGGCCCGCGAGCTGACGCCGGCGCAGCGCGAGGCGAGCGACGTCGACTGGTCGAGCCACAAGTGCAACGAGCCGATCAAGAACCAGGGCGAGTGCGGGTCGTGCTGGACCTTCTCGTCCATCGGCGTGGCTTCGTTTGGCGACTGCCTCGCGACTGGGACGCTCCTCGACCTCTCGCAGCAGCAGCTCGTGAGCTGCGCGCGCAACGCCGGCAACGGCTGCCAGGGCGGCTGGCCCTGGAAGGCGCTCGACTACATTCGTGAGACGGGTGTGTGCTCGTCGAGCGAGTACCCGTACCAGTCGGGCAGCACCAAGCAGGACGGCCAGTGCAAGGAGAGCTCGTGCAACAAGAAGAAGCTCCAGATCGGCGCGACCGTCGAGATCCAGGGCGAGAGCGCGCTCCAGAGTGCGCTCGACCACCAGGCCGTCCAGGTGGTCGTCGAGGCCGGCAACAACGTGTGGAAGAACTACAAGCGCGGCGTGATCCGCCAGTGCCCCGGCGCGCAGTCGGACCACGCCGTGCTCGCGATTGGGTACGGCACCAAAGACGGCGTCAAGCACTTTAAGATCAAGAACTCGTGGGGCACCGGGTGGGGCGAGGGCGGCTACATGTACCTCCAGCGCGACGTCGGTGGCAAGGGCATGTGCAACGTCGCCGAGCGCCCGTCGTACCCCAAGCTCACCAAGGCGCCGAGCCCGAGCAGCCACAAGCCGTCGCCCAACCCGACGTCGGGTCCCAACCCCAAGCCGTCGTCGAAGCGTCCCGTCCCGACGTCCAAGGGTCCTGCGCCGTCCAACAAGTGCGGCGGCTGCACGGGTTGCTACTACCCCAACCAGCAAGCGTGCCAGCCGGCCTTTGACAAGAGCACGTGCGACATCATGACGGAGTATTACGGCACGGTGTGGTGCGGCAACTAAGTTCTTAGGCGTCCAATTTCCAATTGCCCGTTCTCGCGGCTGCACAAGCCAGTGTGTTTGTGAGTCGAGACTACATATCGATGTGAATACAACTCTGTCAATTGTCTTATATTTCAAACTTTGCGACCAGCAGCTCGAGTTTTGACACTGAAGAAATGCGGCATTCTACAAAGCGAAACGCTTCGCGGACATCTGAATCTGACCGTTTCGCAAGATTTGGGATGGACGGTCCAGAGACGCCCAGCACATTTCCCATGCTTGCGACCGTGGGACGACTCCAACACCGCTACCTCACGTAGATTAACTGCAGATTCATTCTTAGCTGGAACAAAAACACGCTCGACTGCACGCAGTGGGAGGCTGATGGCCGTGCTCGGTATCATTGAAAACAAGAGAACACATCTGAGTCTGGGTCGATTTCTGATTCTGAGTTTGCACAACGCGAGCTCTGTTGTGGTATGCAGTAGAGCACTCTAAAGCACGACGGGCGACAACAACTGAGTTTGCTCAGTGCTCTCTGATGCGCCGAAGCTAGCTTGAGGTGCAGGGTTACAATCTTTTCATCTATAACGTCACATTGGCCACCGGCATGGTGCTCGTTTTGCTCGTCTTCACCAGTGTCTTCTACTCATTTGTCTGGCTCTGATGCGCCAGTTCGTATTGGGTAAGGACATCAAGGAAGGCCAATGCCCCCGCAGCAGCGGTACTGGGCCTGCTGCGCACGTACTCGCGCAGCAGAAAGCAAACGTTGCGAAGCTCGACGCCATGGACGTCACTGGTCAGTGCTTTGGCCAGCACCTGCGTCGCCAACGGACGCTTGGCTGGCCCGCCTCGCAAGTGGAACACCACGCCCAAACAGTACCTACACCTGCTCTAAGAACCCATTGTCTATAGAGGAACGCACCCGGCGAAGGCGTACTCGCGCTGATGGACGCTGTCAAGGCTTTCGATGCACGTTGCCCAGAGCTGCAGCGCGCGCGCCATGTCACCGGTCAAGTAGAGAAGGAGGCCGGCAAGTGGCCCGAGCGCATCGACGTCCAATGTCGTCGTCAATGAAAACTCATGGTGAACGACGCACGCCGCCGTGCGCTTGTAGCGGAGCAGGAGCAGGTCGTCGCTGCTCTGGTAGACAGACAATGTCATGGCCTCCACGACCAATTGCCGCCCCAAAGCATAGTCGTTACAAGCGAATACGCTGGCAATCGCTACACACCAAAAGACAATCTCTCCATCGGCGTAAAGAAGTGGAACATGTCTACCATAGCTCAAGAGACCGACGCAGAGCAACAAGTGGGCCCTTGCGTGCATTGGCTCGCGCTGAGGACGTGGCAGCAGCATACGGTAGATCGGCGTCGCAGCAGCCATGTCCTGCTGGACGTACGCGAGGAACTCTGCAAACTGAATGATGATCTTGAGGTCTTGGCCGTCCTCCAACGGTGTTGATAGCGTCGCCAGATGACGCAATGCCTACGCCAATAGCAGTCATTAAATGCAGTATAGGCACACTCCATACGTTGCGGAAGAGCCCCTCGGCGCGATCGAGGTCGGGCTGCTTGAACGTCAAAAAGTCGGCAAAGGCGGCATATGTGTCGAGGTCGGTTGGGTCGTTCGCCAGTGCGGCTTCGTACATGGCGCGCGCCGCCTCGAAGCGCTGTCGACGCTCGTCAAGGAAGACGGCGTAGTTGCAGAGGACGCGCTGGTAGCGTGGGTCGGCGGCGTGCGCCTCTCGGAACGCTGCTTCCGCCTACAGCAGCTCCAACCTGAGTCTCGTGCGGCTGTCCTCGAGCGATACCGCATCCAGATTGCCCTGCTTATCTTCTAGCAGCGCAAGGTTGTGCAAAAGGCGCGCGGGGTCGGGGCTGAATGGGATCGCCCGCCGAAGCAACGACGCGGCGGCCGCCAAGTCGGCAAAGTTCTCTTCGAGCAGATCGGCGTAGGCGCAGAGCAGGCCCGAGAGAACCGATTCCGGCGGATACGCTGGGTCTTCGGACGCCTTGGCTGTGCTCGTCAGCGCGTCCAGCGAGCTCGCAATAAATGTCCGTGCCAGCCACTTGTCCCTAGCACAGAGCCTACAGGCCGTCAGCTAATGTACAATGCATCTGTGCAGACCGCGGCCACGCAGCACTCTCGATAAAATGGACAGCGCCGTCGTGGGACGGCTGGCGACAGGCGCGGGCGAGCTGGCGGAGGTAGGCCTTGTGCCCGAGAAGCTCGTGCAGCGCAGTCGTCTCGGGCCCATGCAACGCGCGGGACGCCAAGGCCACCCAGAGCACATCGTGGCTGCCGAGGAGGTGCCAGCGCAAGCAGACTTGACTCGCCGCCCCGAGGTCGCGCACGCCAAGGTAGGCCAAGACCTCGTGCAAGAGCTCGTTGCTCTCGAAGACACGCTGCATGGCAGAAACGAAACCCGTTTACATTCGGCATATGCCACATTCAGTCGCGGTTACCGTTTCACGCAACGTGGTCCCGACCATCACAGAAAGCAAGCGACCGCAACGGGTGCAAGATTGCCAACAAACACTGGCGCCTTTCTACTGGAATCGCCTGGTTGAGCTCAGGGGCTCTTGGCTCTGACGTCCGAGACAGCGCTTCCAAAAGGCTTCAATACCTTGAAGTCTTGAGTTTGTACCCGCTGTCGCAGGACGTCTGGCTCAGCTCCGTTTTAAGTGACTGAGAAGCAATTTGAATTGGCTGCCGTTGTGTGAAGTGATGGAGCAATTTTCATACTCGAGTATATGCGCAGTCATGGGAGCTCGCGATGCGGTAGACCATGCACCGGTCTGCTCGTCCCGGTAGTTGGCACAATGCATGCGCGATGACCGTCGCGTTGGTGGGTCAACTCTGCAGACAGGAGCAGGAGCAGGGGCAAAAACACGTACGATTTTAAATTCGGCACATGCCGCACGGACGTGGCGCCGTTTCGAGTGTATTTTTCTAGGCACGATGGACGACGAGGTCGACGACGATGGTGTCGGCGAGCTCGTGGCACCGCCGCCGCCAAGCGTACGTAGGCCGGCGCATGCGTCTAGAGGCTGAGGCGCTACGCTCCTAGCCCAAGCACCGGCGCGTCTGGTCCGTCGGCGTCGACTCGGCCACGGAGCTCGGGAAGATCCAGAAGGCGCACGAGGTTGACCGACTGCGGGACGTGCGCCATGCCTCATGGACGATTAGATGAGCTCGCTGCAGACAGAGCTGGCCAAGCAGAGCAGGGCGCTTGAAGAGTCCCAAGAAGAGACGCAGCTCGCGGCCCGCATCGGCCAGTCGCTCTTGGCGCAGAACCAGCAGCTCGACTACGAGCTCAAGGCTACCTTGTGCCAGGTACGATACCCCAATGCAAGCTACGTCCGAGTGTCGACGGCGCGGTAGGCGACAGCGCGCGCCGACGACGCCGAGCGCCATGCACGCGTGCGTGCCTCCTTCGGCGCGATGTAGCGATTCGACGACCATGTAGGTTCTCGAAGCCAGGCTTGCAGAGGCCACGACGAGCTGCCGCGCCGCCGAGAGCCAATGCGTACACAGCGCAGTCGAGATCGAGCATCTCCACGGAGTGCAGGCGGGACTCGAGTACGTTACCCATTCAACAGACGGGATCATTGGCGGTGGCAGATCGACGATCAAGCAGCTTACGCGGGACGCGAGCAAGTGCAAGGACGAGCGCCAGCTACTGACACAAGCCACGGCTCGTCTTCACGAAGAGGTACGACGGGCTGCGATCGTTCGTGCATAGCTCATGGCGTGTGCAGAACCGAGAACTGCAGGCCGACCGTGACACGCTGCAAACAGCTAATGGCCGCCTCATACGAGAGCTCGAGGCGCTTCGCGCCGACCTGACCGAAGTAATCACGAGCCATCGTTGCGCTTTGAACGCTATCCATCACATAGCGACGGGACGCTGCCGATGCGAGCGACCGCAGTGTCCTCGAGTTCAAGACCAAGCTCGTCGGCTACGACCAAGTCGTCGCCCACCTCGAGGCGTTGCAGGCGCATGTGCTGTCGACGGATGTCGAGCTTGCTACGCTAGTTGGTCGACTTCCTATTGCACACGATTACTCAGTCTATGGACATGTAGCACGAGCACTGCCGGGCCCTGGAAGACGCCAAAGAAGCGTCCGAGCTCTTGGTGCGACTTTGTTGCTTGGAGGCGACAGTGTACACTATCGTCTGTAGGTAGCCGCACTGACCACCGAACTACACACCACCACCGAACAGCTGCAGCAAGAGCGGGTTATAACCCAAGAGATGCGCGTAGGCTCGTTGTTACGATAGTGGTGGTGCGACTTGTTATACCAGGAGGCGAGTCGGAGTTATTTGAGCCGTCGCTCGAGCGACGCAAGCGCCTCGGATGGTCCCGACGTCGCAATTCTCAAGCAAGGCTCGCTCTTCCACGAGCTCTCACTCGTGCTTGAGCGGGACCGCGCAGATGCGACGCAGCCCCTTCTCGATCGCGTGGGCTCTCTGGCGCCGATACCAACGACGATTCATCTCAAACTAGATTCTGGCACTGGAGACCGAGCTGGCCTCGTACAGAGAGGTGCTTCTTCTGAGAGCCATCGACAAGAGCCACTATCGCGGACTAGGGCTCCAGCCACGAGACTGTCTCATCACACGTAAACGAAGTCCGCGCGCTACGGGAGACACAGTACGCGATCGAGACGGAGCTGCTTCAGGTGCCGTTGCCACTAGACATGGAACGACGACCTTGCAAGTCGTGTTGAGTAGGTACAGAAGGAGCTCAGTCGGACCCAAGAGACGTCCAAGGTTCGACCAGATCGTTTGCGAGCACTAATTCATGTACTTTGGTGTAGCTGTGGGAAGCCAAGTACGTGGCCAAATGCGCCGAAGCCGATGAATTCCGAGTCGAGCTCAAAGGACACATGCATGCGTGCGAAGTGGAGCTCGACCAGCTCATGTAGGCGACGGGTACACTGCGCCGCCTCGTGATCCATGGGCTCGTAGGAAGCAGCGAAGCTCGATGCAGGACGAGCTCCTCAAGGCGCGACTGCTCTACACGGAGGCCGCCGCCGAGTGGCACGCTCAAGTACAGTACATATACAACAAAGACGCCAATTCGGACTCGTGATGTCTTCCGGCTAGAGAACGCTGCACGAAGCGCAGGTAGAGCAGCTTCACGAGACGCTCCGAGCAGCTCAAAGCGAAGTGCATCATCTCAAGCTGGACGAGCGCCATGTACCTTCAGTCTATGCCCAAAACATGGCAGCGATAGCACTCGCGTAGGCGGCTGCTTCGCTCGCAGCCAGCACGCAGCAGCTCTGCGAGATGGACCGCGCGCTTCGGTTGGCCAAGGACCACGAAGAGGCGCTGAGCAAGAGCGTCGGCCTCTTTCAAAGCAACTGCGATGCGCAAGCAAGTCGACTGTTGGCGCTTGTACCGCCCAGCGACTCGCGTGGTATCTCTGAAATGTCGGAGTAGGAAGATGCGATGCGCGATGCAGCCGAGACTCGAGTCATGCAGGAGCAGCAGGTAGACGTGTCCATGTGGTAGGCATGTTTCTTCTCACCTGATGTAGATGGCCGCTCTCACGAGTGAGCTCGACCAGACGCTCGAGCTCTGGCGCGACGAGAAGACCACAAGTGACGGTCTTCGCCAGCGCATCGAGGTTCGTGCCAAGTGTTCCAGTCCTCTAGCATGAAAGGTATTTGGAGTAGGAGCTCCACGAAATGATGGAGGTGGCGTCACAGCCGTCACCATACCGGTCACGGCAGTCGAGCATCGAGCAGCGGCGTAGTTTTCTCAAGCGCGGATCGCTTTTCCACGAGCTCGCACAGCAGATAGAGCGGGAGGTCACTCTTGCCCAACGGACGATTTCCGAAGACGACGAGACCACGCCGCCGTCTGTCATTGTCCGTGACCGTGGTGTCATGACGGTCCTGGACTGAGCGCTTGCGTAGGTCGAGTCGCTTCGGTTGCAGCTTGATGAGCTTCAGATTCAACTTCGTCGAGAACGGGCACGTGTGTGCCAACTGCAGACGGAACTCGATGCTGCGACGCCGGTAAGTCCCAGTTTTGCCCCTCGCACATCAAGGTCTTGTGGCGCGTAGGCTCCACCAATTGTGCGCCCGCCGTGGTTCTGGGCGGCCTTGTATGGCGGGCGCGTTCGCGGGCTGCTCGACAACGAGATAATAGCTGCACCCCACGAGTAGGACACTACATTATGCAAGTAAAGGCCTAGTCCACTGGGTCGTCCGTCTTTAATTTCGACGGGCGCAGCGTTCCATTTTCTGTTTCAATTAGCTTAGACCCCGCTGGCGATATCAACGACTCTGCCCGCGCCTTGGCCTGGACACAAAATCCTCGGGCAACCCATCCACATCGGCTAATCTCTCTGCGCTGCGACAGACTTTGAGCAGTACGCGTCTCGGAAGACCGGAAACTCAAGTCGACCTACCTCGAGTGGCGAGACTCCACGCTGTTAAGCTCTTGACGAGCATGTTTTGTGTCCTCACAGGTCGCTCACGTACATGTACCTCGACACGGACGAGCTACCTCTAGCGTACCACCGGCGCAAGATTGAGCCGCGCGGCTGCTTTAGGCTGACGTATTGTTGTGACACCGTCTTAACCCCGGGCATCCCAAACTTTTGCGAGTTTTACACAGTTGAAGTCGCGATTGGAGTCGACGGCTCTTGACTCTAACGTCCAAGATGGCGCTTCCACATGGCTGTAAGACTTCGGTGGCTCTGGCGTTGCCTCCACTGCTGCAACACGTTTGGTGCCAGTGTTGATTTGAACACTCTCGTTTCTTTTTGAGGCCAAGATCTGCGGTGCGTTATTAGTGGTAAACGCCAGAAATAAGATCGTAGTGCCACATTTTGCGCACGACGCTGGGCGAGTGGCCGTTTGGTCAGCAACATCCTGTTTGAAAATGGAATCGCCCATGGTTGGCACGTTGATAGAAGACACTTTAGAGAGCAGAGCAGGCCACACTGCGTGACCGCTGCATGCCGACGGTACGCGCGTTGCTTGATTCAAAATACAAAGCGCTCTGAAAACGTTAAAAAGCGAATCGCCACATTGGCTCATTGCGTTGTCGAGGCGATCAGTGCTTCCACCAACCCTGTAAATCAAGAGTGATTCCATTCAGAGTTATTGTATCACAATATTCGATTGCCAGCGAAGGCAGTGCGTGTAGAGTGGATACAAAAACGAACACTCGCTAATAGTTAACTAGGCGAGTTGGCCCGGTAGACTCGACCGGCCGGCGGACGACGACGATGACTTGCTGCGCTGGAGCGTGAGCACGAGCGGCTTGGGACTCGACTTGAGCACGTGCATCGCGTGCTGAAAGCCCATCGAGCTAATGTCCTGCTGGTTGATCGCGATGAGCATGTCACCAGCTGTGACGCGTCCTCGCTGACGCATAGCGTGGGCCGCCCCTTCATCCTTGACCTTGACGACCTCGATGTAGTAGTTGAGCAGCGGCGTGACGACGAGTCCGAGCGGTCCATCTTCGTCGGTCCATGTAATGTTGTACGCCTCGTCGTTCGGCGTTAACTTGTGCAAGTTGAGTGCAATGACACTGGACCGCCGGCCGGAGGACGCAGTCGAGACGCGCGACTCGGTGACGGCGTCGTCGTCCGGCATGCGGAATCGGAGGACGCATGGCTTGGGCTGCTCCGAGAGAAGCGCGTTGATCTCTTTTTGAGACTTCATGTACGTCGAGATCGCGTTGACGTGCGTGAGGAGGTCGCCCTTGCAGACCATGAGCGGTTCGTTGGGCATGGGCGACGAGAGAATCGTGCTCACGTACGGCAAATGGCGCTGGCGGTGGAGTTTAAAGTGGAGGTTCAGTGGCTCGTTGTAGCCCCAGAGCACTTCGTACTCGTTGGCTTCGAGCTGATGCGCCGGCGTGTGGCCGCGACGCTGAAACACAAGCGTCACGGGCTTGGCGATCTCGTGCATGTAGGCGAGCGTTTGGTGCAACGAGGCGTGGGGCACGATGGGCTTGGTGCCGACAGAGACGAGGACGTCTTCCACCGCCACGTGCGAGATGGTGCTGCAGCCACTCAAGTTGGCATGGACCCGCTGGACGACTGGCAGCCCCGACTCGAGGTCCCGGCCGAAGTAGAGACCGAGCATCCCAGCCGGCCACGTAATCTCGTACTTGTTGGCGAGGGACACGGCCACTTCCGACTCGGTCTCCGACTCGGACGCGTCATCATCCTCGTCGCCAATGACTTCAGGGTAAAAGGGCGGCGGCGGCGGGGCGTGTACGGGGGATACAAAGGGCCGCACGAGCGGACGCACGGGCGAGTTGACGGGCGAGTTGAGCGCGCGATAGGCGTCATCCGCGATGGCCTTGGCTTGGGCTGCGACGCGCTCGGCTTCGGCCGCCGCGGCCGTGTGTCGTCGAGCAGCCTCGGCGACCGCTTTGGCTTTGGCGGCGGCGTCCGCTTTGGCCTTGGCGGCCGCAGCCATCGCTTGTGCCTTGGCAACGCGCAGTGTCCGCAGCAGCTGCTGCGCGCGGTGGCGGCGGTAGCTACCCTGCAGAACGACGGCGGCCGCGCGCCGCTGTCGGCGAAAGCGCCAGAGCCGAACGGCCGACTGGATCGTTCGCACCGACGCCTGCTGACGACGAAACCGGGTGCGCGCGAGGACCATGCGCGCAAAGGCCTGGAGCGTCACGACGCGGCGGTGGAGTGCGAGAACACGTTCGCGCTGAAGGACATCGAAAGCCGCTTGCACGACAAAGACCTTGGAGGTACCGAGCTGGAACGGCGGCTTGTCGGTCGGCAACGCATACTTGGCAAGGAGCGTCTCAAGCATTGCGTGAACGCTGCGCGGTCCAGGGGCGAGGGGTCGAAACTCGGTCTGAAAAGCTTCGTGCGGGAACCGCACGGCGTACCCGAGGCGGGAGATCTTGACGGCCTCGAGGATGCCGGAGCACTGGAGCTGCTCGCGCACCCGAGGTTCGTCCAGCGTCGACGGCTGCAAGTCGTCGTTGGGCTTGATGCACCGGACGAAATGAGGCGACGTGGCGTTGAGAACCCCGAGGAGGTCCGTGAGCTGCTGCTTGAACTTCATCGCGACGGTCGCACCCATGATACCGGACGACCGGCGCGGCTTGTCGTCGCTGTCGTTGTTGAGGCGGGACGGCGGGAGCATGCTCAGCACTTGGTAGCTCTCAAAGAGCGTCGCGACGAACGAGTTGGTCGAGGCGCTGAGCATGTCGATGGCTTCGTCGTGCACGTGGTCTTTGTTCTTGTCGCAAAAGCCATCCGTGATATACGCGACCGTGCCTGCGTAGTGCAGCACGGAGAACTGACTGCTGCCCTGCTGGAGCTTGGACGCTGCGAAGCGCGGGTGCTTGCCGAGGAGATCATAGAGCGACTTGGCGAACGGTCCATCGCCACCTTTGGGCAGCATGCACTGCTCGTCCAGCAGTCGAAAAGGCCGCGCCGCGCCTCAAACAGCATCACAACCAAGTCGTTGTTGGGGTACTCGACGAACGTCCACGGAATGCCTTGGCTCGCGTACTCGTCTTGCTCCATCGCAAACACAAACTGCGAGAAGAGCTGCTGGAGCTTCTCGTTGGCGTAGTTGATGCAGAGCTGCTCGAGCGAGTTGGTCGGGAAGATCTCGAACCCAAAGATATCGACGATCCCGATGAACGAAGCATGCGAGGTAGTAGGATCGATGGGCCGCGACGTGTCTTCGTACGCCATGCTCTCGTTGATGCGGTCGACGAGCCACTCGAAGAGCTGCGCGTACAGTGCTTTTCCAACCACATCTTTTGCGCCCAGCGCTTGGCTCGGCTCGAGAGGTACGGTGATGGTTTCGCCGCCGGCGCGGATCTTGCGCGTGCAGAGACCCGATTGGAGCCGGTCGCGGCTGACGCCGAGGAGGCCGCAGAGCGTGACCAGGTCCACGCTCTGCCCAAACGTGGCGCCACCACCGGCCGCCGGGACAAACTCGAGGTTGCCGAGGTGCAAAATCGCAGCGACCACCTGCAGCACGCTCCACTGCTCGTCATCCGCCATGCCGATCGTTGTCATGGCGTGGCGCGTCTTGGTGTACTGGTCGCCGTCGTCGACGCCGTCCTTGCGGTCCACACACTGCGTCTGGTTGAGGTACTTGTAGTCCTCGATGCGCGTCAAGCGCAGCGCAGCGAGCTCGTCGGGCGTTGCGCCACGTAAGAGCTCGTAAAAGATGTGGTAGTTGCGCTCGCCGATTGACTGCGACACGAGCCGGACGCGCTCGAGGAGGTACGTCGAGATGGACGCGCCAAGAAGCGACCCGCTGCGGTCAAAGCCGAGGCGAATAAACTTGCCAAAGCGCGACGAGTTGTTGTTGCGGTTGGTCCGGGCGTTGCCAAAGGCTTCGAGGATCGGGTTGGACTCGAGCACGCGGTTGCGCACGTTCTCACGCTCAGGAATGTGCGTATCGTTGGTCGTGGCCGACGAGACGGACGCGAGGTAGTTCATGATGATCTTGGTCGTCTCGGTCTTGCCCGCGCCCGACTCGCCGCTGACGAGGACGCTTTGGTCAGCCGTCTGGCGCAGCAGGTCGCGAAAGGCTTTGTCAGCGACTGCGTAGACGTGCGGCGGTAGCTTCTCGCGCTTCTCGCCGGCCATGACGCGGTCGCCGTGTTCAATGTACGAGGCCTTCAAGGCCGCGCTATAGAGCGCAGGCAGCGCCTCGAACGGGTTGATGGCCACGAGGATCGAGCCCGTGCTCGTGTAGATGGCCTTCTTCTGGAAGCGCACCGCGAGCGCAGCGAGGATCGAAGCCTCGTCCAGGTGCACGAGCGCGGTGAGGTCGGCGACGTCCTCGGTCATCGTCCGCTGCTCCAAATGATGCGATCGAACTTCGAAGCTACAATCCAGTGCAATGTCACGTTTGAAGACAGTGTATCCTACATACCAACATCAAGTTCAAAATGAAACGACGGTGATTGGTCCAAATGCTTCTCGTCTCTGATTGGCTCGTAGCGTTGTCGATTGCACTTCTAGTCGATCGCAGCGACTAACTAATCAAGATCATACATCCACAAGAGCACATTAACGGTCGTCGTCTACTACGATACTAAATACTGGCGGGCACGCCGACGTGGGACGCGCGGCCCTGCTTCTGGAAGGTCAAGAGCACGGGTTTCGGGCCAATTTGCAGCAAATGCATCGCGTTCCGGAAGCCCATCTTGGAGATGTTGTTGTTGTTGATGCTAATGAGGAGGTCGCCGATCTGCACCTTGTTGGGTTGCCGCAGAATCGCGCCTTCGGGCTTGACCTTGGTCACCTCGGGGTAAAAACTCGACAGAGCTTGCTTGACGACGAGGCCGAGCGCGCCATCCTCTTCCTTCCATGTAATGTTGTAGAGCGAGTCGTCGCGCTTCGGGTTGAGGCTCATGGTCGACATGCGGCTGAAGCGGAAGCTGCTCTCGCGCGTCGACGCCTCGCTGGCGCGGGACGACTCGAGTAGGGCATCGTCGAGGTCCGCGCGCATGAAGCGCAGCACGACGGGCCGCGGCCCGTCCTCGAGGAGCTTGATGACGCGCGCAAACTCGACGCGGTACGTCGAGATCTCGTTGATCGCAGTGAGGTAGTCGCCGAGCCGGACGTTGAACATGCCGGGAATCTGCGGGTTGCCCCGGCATTTCGAGACGCTTGGCATCTCCTTCTTCTTGTCGGGCTTGAAGCCAAGACCGAGGGGCACGTTGTCGCGCCAGAGCACTTCGTACTCGTCGCTCATGAGCGACGGCTCGCGGACCGTCTCCGAGTTGGTCGTCCGCTGGAAGCGCAAAGCGACCGGCTTGTCAATGTCTTGGAGCAGCCGCAGAATGTGCCGAATGTCGTTGTTGTGCACGCGCTTCCCGCCCACCGAGAGGAGGATGTCGCCCGGCGAGACGTCGAAAATGTCGGCGCACGTGCTCAGCGTCTCGTGCACGCGGCGAACGACCGGGAGACCGGAGACCTCGTCGCTCTCAAAGTAGAGGCCGAGCATGCCGCACTCCCAGTTGATCTCGTACTCGTTTTCCGACGTCGTCGACTTGGACTCTTGCGTCGAGGCCGTCGACGACGACCGACGACCGCCCTTCGCGACGCCACCGTCGTCCTCTTCGTCCGACGAGCTAAACTCTTCAAAGACCACGGGCGTCTGGAGCAGCGGTCGCCCGAGCGCCGGCAAGAGCGGCCCCATCTTGGCCGAGAACGCCGGGTCGGTCCCAAGCGGAATGAGCGCCGCGGCCTTGATCTCCATCTCGCGTGCCTTCTTCAGTCGGTTGGCTTCTTCGTCGGCCTTTTGCTTGAGCAGCGCGCGCTCGATGATGGCTTCGGCTTGGAGCTGGCGCCGCATCTGCGCCGCCGAGACCCGGCCGCGGTGGCCGCGCCACATCCGCTGCAAGAGGCGCACGGCCCGCACGCGGCACTGGTGCACGGACCGCGCGCGGTACCCGCGCCAATGCGCCTGGATGCAGACGCTGCCACGCGACTGGCGTTGGCGCCGGCGGGCGTGCTGCAGTGCCCGGCGCCGGCGCACGGCCCGCTGCAGCGTTCGGATCGCGGCCACTTGTCGGTGGTACCGAGTCCGAGCGAGGAGGCCGCGGGCGTAACGCTGGAGGCAGAGCACGGCCGACGCCTGGACGTGGATCTTGCACCGGTTCAGGTCTTCGTACGCACCTTGGAGTAAAAACACTTTGGTCAACCCGACGCGGAACGCGTTAGGCGTCGGCAGCAGCGTCAGCAAGAGCAGTTCCAACGACATGGCGGCGCTGGGCGAGAGACACCGGTAGTGCTGCAGAAACGTGGAGTGGAGCATGCGCACGGGGTACCCGGACCGGGAGATCTTGACGGCTTCGAGGACGCCCGAGCACCGCAGCTGCTCGACGACCCGCACGTCGTCAAACGCGTGCGGGTCGAGCTCGTCGTTGGGCTTGATGCACCGGATGAAGTGCGGCACGGTCGCGTGCAGGAGCTCCAGCAGCGTCGAGAGCTCCGACTTGAACTTGAGGACGACCGAGGACGCCGCGTTCGTCGACCGGCGCGGCGGCGAGTCGGCCTTGAGCGACAGCGCAGTGGACCGGCGCAGCGACCCGTCGCCTGCGAATAGGTGCGTCACGAACGCCTTGGATGAGGTGCCGAGGAGCTCGAGGGCCTCGACGTGCACGCTGTCCTTGTTCTTCTCAATGAACCCCGTCGCCGTGTAGACGACGTCGCCGGCGTAGTGCGCGATCGTAAACTGCGTCTGCCCGCGCTGGAGCTTGGTCGACGATAGGTGCGCGTGCGAAGAAAACACGTCGTAGTACTTGGCCGCCAGCGCCGCGTCGTTGCCTCTGGGAATAACGCACTGCTCGTCCAGCAGCGAGAAGAGACCGATGGGCCGCGCCTCAAACATGGCCACGCACGCGTCATTATTCGGGTACTCGACAAACGTCCACGGAATCGCTTCGGCCGCGTACTCCTTCTGCTCCATCTCGAACACGTACTTGGCGAAGAGCTGCTGGAGCTTCTCGTTGGCAAAGTTGATGCAGAGCTGCTCGAGCGAGTTGGTCGCGAAAATCTCAAACCCAAAATGTCCACCACGCCGATGAAGCGCGAGTGCGCGCTTTGGACGGACGCTGACGCGTCGTAGCTGATGCTCTGGTTGATGCGGTCGACGAGCCAGTCGAACACACGGGCATAGATGGTCTTGGCCACCGCGTCGCGACTGGTCGCCGCTTCGAGCACCGTGAGCCCCTTGGTGATGACCTCGCCACCGACCTTGATTTTCTTGGTCGTCAGGCCTTTCTCAATGATGCTCGCGTCGATGCCAAGGAGGGTCGCCAGCGTCGAGAGCAGCGGCGCGCTCCCGTCGCTGCATTGGCTCTCTTCACCGCCCTTCTTGACGAGCTCGACGTTGCCCAGATGCAGCACCGCGGCCACGAGCTCGAGCACGCTCCACTGCTCGTCATCCGCCATGCCGATCGTTGTCATGGCGTGGCGCGTCTTGGTGTACTGGTCGCCGTCGTCGACGCCGTCGCGACGGTCGTAGCACTGGCTGCTGTTGAGGTACTTGTAGTCCTCGATGCGCGTCAAGCGCAGCGCAGCGAGCTCGTCGGGCGTTGCGCCACGTAAGAGCTCGTAAAAGATGTGGTAGTTGCGCTCGCCGATTGACTGCGACACGAGCCGGACGCGCTCGAGGAGGTACGTCGAGATGGACGCGCCAAGAAGCGACCCGCTGCGGTCAAAGCCGAGGCGAATGAACTTGCCAAAGCGCGACGAGTTGTTGTTGCGGTTGGTCCGGGCGTTGCCAAAGGCTTCGAGGATCGGATTGGACTCGAGCACGCGGTTGCGCACGTTCTCACGCTCAGGAATGTGCGTATCGTTGGTCGTGGCCGACGAGACGGACGCGAGGTAGTTCATGATGATCTTGGTCGTCTCGGTCTTGCCCGCGCCCGACTCGCCGCTGACGAGGATGCTCTGGTTGCAGGTCGCGTCGGTGGGCATGTTCATGTCGCGGAAGGCCTTGTCCGAGACCGCATACACGTGCGGTGGTAGCGGGGCGAGCTTTTCGCCGTTGGCAGCGCGGCTGCCATGCGCAATGTAGCGCGCCTTGATCGGCTCGTCGTAGAGTGAGAGCGCCTGGAACGGGTTGACCGCGACAAGGATCGAGCCCGTGCTCGTGTAGATCTCTCGCTTCATAAAGCGCACCTTGAGCGTATGCAGGATCGCAGGCTCGTGCAGGTGCACGAGCGCCGTGAGGTCCTCGACGCCAAGCTCGCGCTGCTCGATCGGGTTGCAGACAAAGACCTTGCTACCGACGGCCGACGCCGGGAAGGCGAGGACGCGCGAGGCCTCGTCGATGGCGTCCGTGAGCCGACAGCCGAGGCTCGTCGGCGTCGTCGCATGGACCACGGCCCGGCGCCAGACCCAGTCCTCGGCGAGGACCCACACCGGGGTTCCGATCTCCATGCGCCCAAGTGGCTTTTTTAAATGCCCGCCCAACGCCGACTCTGGATGTATTTTATTATTAATTTTATTGTATTAAAAATAAACGCCAGCCGGGCTATGTGCAAACGTATGGTATTTAAAACAGATCTCGCTATTCCTCTTCGAACTTCGAAATAGAGGTCGGTCCGTGCAACAGGCCGCACCGCTCGCAGCTGCGAACTTCGCATTACTACGGCCGACGGGACACGCCATGTGGCCGCGGCGACGGCGGACCAAGGCCATGGCCGCGCTGGATGGCCTCGGCGGGTGAATCTTTCTGGGCGGCGTCACGGGCCATGGCTATGGGCAGCGGCGACGAGCGCGATGTTGGCGACGGCAGCGACACGGCCAAGCTGACGGCTCGAGGCTGCATAGGCGCGGACTGTGGATACCTCCGGCAGCGATGGGGTACGTCGCACCGTCGCACAGAGTTGCCATCGACATGTCTAGTAGCCGTGGCGGTGGATCCATGGATATGGCAAGGTCGCACCGTCATGCCGCTGCGACGACGTGATGGTGGCACCTGCGTGTATCTCGACGACCTCTCGGTGCGGCTCGCTTCAGAGCCTCCGCAGCGTGTACTGTACGCAATGCGCACGCGGCGCCCTGTCCAACTCTCATTGCCAAGGGCAGGTACCGTGTAGTCGCACCGGACGCGTCAATGTAAATAAGTCCTCATCATTGACAGACAATCGCTTCTCTCGACTAGGCAAAGGGTGCGAAGAGGAGCTCGTCGAGGTAGTAGATGCAGTAGAAGAGCACGACGCCTGCAATGAGGCGCCACACAATGTCGTCGGCCTCGGCCCACTCGAGTGCGCGGTCCATCGTCCGCGAGAGCGCGTTGACGCCGCAGACGTACGGCGACGGCCGCTCGAACGTCAAGCGCAGCGGCGTCTTGATCATGCGCGCTTGCTGCTCCTGGAGAAGTCGCAGCGCCGAGTCAAACGTCTGCGGCGCGTCGTCGATGCGAACGAGGATGTCGCCGACGTCGACGCGCGCCTCGGGCGACGCCACGTGCATGTTGTAGGCGGCGAGGCAGCCGCTTCCATGGAGCTTGGCCACGCGGAGGCACTCCGAGTAGCGCACACGCTTGAGCTCCGCGCCAAGGACGTCGTCGTCCCACGTCACCGTCACCACGTTGGTGTGGAAGAACCACTTGATGTAGTCGCGCGGGGACCGCGCCTGCGACGGCCGCGGCCCGGGGAGGAAGCGCAGGACGACGGGCCGGGGCGCCGACGCCACGAGGTCCATCGCCGCTTCAAACGTCATGTGCGCCGTGGGCATACCGCTAACCGACAAGAGAATGTCCGACGGCCGCAGCTTGCTGAGCCCGCGCACGCTCGTGAGATGCCCGCGGAAGCCGTCGACCGCCGGGCGCACAAAGCCATCGCGGCTGCAGGTGTGGGCCGTCCACGCAAAGGCCACCGAGACGTCGTCGGCGGTCAAAAGCACCTCAAAAGCATCGGCGTCGCAATTCGTCTCGTCGTCGAGGATCGGCGTCGCACCGATCGTAATCGTGTCGGGCGAGCTCGAGCACGAGCAGGCCGACGACGCCCGCGCGCGCACCGGGCCGCGCCCAAAGCGGAGCGAGATCGGCGGCGCCATCTCCGAGAGGACGGACGCAAGGTCGAGGTCGTCGGCGTCGGCGCACAGCACGAGCTCTCCGATCGCGAGGAGCTGGTCGCCTTTCGTCACGTCTGAAAGGCCCGAGCAGTCGCTGAGCGCGTCGTGCTTGCGGCACACCACCGGTACACCCGACGCAAGGTCAAACGAGAGACCCAGCACACCGCGCTCCCAGCGAAGCGTGTACTGGGACGAGACCCGGCTGGCCGACGACGACCGCCGACGCCCGATGGATGACGCCGACGAGAGGCCAAGAACGACGGCGGGGACATCCTCGTCGTCGTCGCTGCTGTGGTCGAGCTCAGCGTCGGGCTGCGCCGTGTTTTCACGGGTCGTGACCTCCTCGAGGAGGTCGAGGCTCCACGTGCGCGCCTGGGCCTCGATCGCCGCCTTGGCGTCGCGGTGCTGCTGAACAAACCGACGCACGAGATGGGTTCGTCGGCGGACGTTGGCCGTCACAACACCACGCCACTGAGTGACCACGGACGCTCGCCGCGCGCGACGGGTGCGGCAGGCGCGGACAAACTGCCGAACGACGTCGACGCGGACCCCACGGTAGCGGTGCCGCTGGTCCACGAACCGCTGCCAGTGACGTACAGCGGCAAGGGCACGGGCGAGCGCCGCCGCCTTGGCCGCGCGCCACGTATGGATATACGTACGCAGACGCCTATCGCGGGCCGCGGCGCACCGGTGGTTGTACGCAACGACGTCCTTCCAGCGCAGCAGAATGTTCCACGCCCGCTGCATGCGCTCGGCGTTGTGGAGGAAGGCGCGGTAGTGGACGAGCTGCCGCCAGTGGCGCTGCAGCCGCACTGCAGCGTCGCGCTGCTTGTGGAAGCGACGCGCGCTCAAGAAGCCGCGCACGATGGCCTGCACGACGATCGTTTTCGCGCGGAGACGCTTATACTTGTGCATCGCGAGGTGTTGCCGCGCAGTGGCCTGCAGCACTGTCGCCGCCGCCGCCCGCGTGGTCGCCACCGCCGCTTGGAGCTGCTCGAACGCGTCGTGGCTCAGAAACATCTTGGTCTTGCCAATGTAGAACGGCGCGTCAATCGACGCGTGGAGCGCGGGGACGAGCCGGCTCACGCTGCGCAGGCGCGGGTACAGGCACTGGTAGTGCTCCAGAAAGGACGGAAACGCCATGCGGATCGGCAGGCCCATGCGCGAGATTTTCGTCGTCTCGACGAGGCCCGAGCAGCGCAGTTGTTCGAGCACCCGGGTCTTGTCGAAGAGGTGGCCTTGCATCGCGTCGTTGGGCTTGATGCATCGGACGAAGTGCGGCACCGAGGCCGACAAGGTCGCGAGGAGCGACGACAGCTGCACTTTGAACTTGAGCGAGACGGTGGACGCCAGCACGGACGAGCTCCGGTGGCTGAGCTTGCGCGTCGGCGACAGCGACGGCTGGCTCGAGAACGACGACCGCGCCGGCAGCTTGGCCGTCGCGCTCACATGATGCAAGTCGGGTGTCGAGTGGCGCTGGACGTCGTCGTGGTCACCGCGATTGGAGGCGTACTCCCAGTCTTCAAAGAGGTCGGCCACAAAGATGTTGCTCGACGTTGTCAGTGCCACGAGCGCTTCGTCGGGCACGTGGTCCTTATTCTTGTCGCAAAAGCCCTTGGTCGCGTACTGCACACGCCCCGCGTAGTGCTGGATCGAGAAGCAGCTCAGGCCTTGCTCGAGCTTCGAGGCTGAGAACGGCGCGTGCTTGGCAAAGCTCGCATAGTACTTGGCCGCGAGCGTCCGGTCGTTGCCCTTGGAGAGCCGCGACTGCTCGTCGAGGAGACAGAAGATGCCGTTCGGCCGGCCTTCAAAGAGCGCGACGACGGCGTCGTTGTTGGGGTACGACACAAACGTCCACGGAATCGCCTCCTTGACGTACTCCTTCTGCTCCATCTCAAACACAAAGCGGGCGAAGAGCTGCTGGAGCTTCTCGTTGGCGTAGTTGATGCAGAGCTGCTCGAGCGAGTTGGTCGTAAAGATCTCAAACCCAAAGATATCGACGATCCCGATCGTCGGGTAGGCACTGCCGCCACTGCTGCCTTCGCTGCCGCTGCTCGAGTACGCGATCGAGACGTTGATGCGGTCGACGAGCCAGTCAAAGACGCGCGCGTAGATCGTCTTGGCGAGGACGTCCCGCATCATGCTGGCAGTCTCGACCGAGAGGTTCATGCGCACGGGCTCAAAACCCGCAATGATCTCGCGCGTGCAGAGCGCCGACTCGAGGTCCGACGCGACGAGCCCGAGGAGCGTGCAGACGGTGCGCACGTGGCCCTGGCTGCTGTCAGCAAAGGTCGCGCCGTCCACCCCCTTGCGCGCAAACTTGAGGTTGCCGAGGTGCAGGATGGCGGCGAGCAGCGTAAAGACGCTCGACTGCTCGACTTGCGTGAGCCCGACGGTCGTCATGGCCGTCCGCGTGAGCGCAAACTGCGCCTTGTCGTCGACGCCGTCGCGACGGTCCACGCACTGCGTCTGGTTGAGGTATGCGTAGTGCTCGATCGACGGCGAGAGACTCAGCGCGACGAGCTCGTCGGGCGTTGCGCCACGTAAGAGCTCGTAAAAGATGTGGTAGTTGCGCTCGCCGATTGCCTGCGAGACGAGCCGGACGCGCTCGAGGAGGTACGTCGAGATGGACGCGCCAAGAAGCGACCCGCTGCGGTCAAAGCCGAGGCGAATAAACTTGCCAAAGCGCGACGAGTTGTTGTTGCGGTTGGTCCGGGCGTTGCCAAAGGCTTCGAGGATCGGGTTGGACTCGAGGATGCGGTCGCGGACGTTGTCCTTCTCATTCGCTGCGTCCTGCGGGTTGACGCTCGAGACAGACGCGAGGTAGTTCATGATGATCTTGGTCGTCTCGGTCTTGCCCGCGCCCGACTCTCCGCTGACAAGGATGCTCTGGTTGCTGCACGACGACGAGGTAGACGTGATGGCGCGGAATGTCTTGTCGGCGATCGAGTAGACGTGCGGTGGTAGAACGTCGTCGCTACTCGCATGCTCCATGTAGCGCTTCTTGGCCTCGTCGGCGTACAGCGCTGGCAGCGCCGCGAACGGGTTGATGGCCACAAGGATCGCGCCCGTGCTCGTGTAGATGAGCTTCTTCTGGAAGCGCACTTGCAGCGTGTTGAGGATCGCAGGCTCGTGCAGGTGCACAAGCGCGGTGAGGTCGTCGACGCCGTTGAGCCGCTGGTCGTCCGGGTTGCACGGGTGGATGGCCGCCGTTTGGACCTTGGCCACGCCCGTCGGTAGCTGCACAAGGACGGCGCCGTCGGCCTCGGGCGCGAGGACCGACGCGAGCTGCCAGCCGTCGCCGTGGCAGGCCCAGACCCGTCGCCCGACGCTCTCCATCTTGGCAAGTGGCAGAGGTCTCGGAATTAAAAACATTTTCGCTGCGTACACACGGTTCGCGGCGAGACGGTGCTTTTTATTTGATTGCGTTTTATTTCAACCCGGCGTTTCTATGCAGATGCGTGAAATAATATGCACGACGCTGGGACACGCCGTGAAATGACTGCGATGATGACGCCAATCTATTTTATTACAGCCGGCCTGTCTACCCCTGGCGATCTTCGAGCACCGACGACGGCGGCGGCGCCCGACGCCCGACACGGTGTTGAAGGGTAGCGTGGGACAAGCATGAGCACCGGCGTGACGTGCAAGGCAAGATACTACTCACGCCGCCGGTGGACGGTCGCGGGCGCGAAGAAGCCAGCGCTGCCACCGAGTACAGTGTAGTGCAGTCGGCAGCCATCAAGCATCACCCGCCACACGCGAGAGCGGTAGCTCGCAACGAGGGTATAGGTATTGAAGAGGCACGTGATGGACGACGGCGAGGGCGTGAGGACCTTCGTGAGGCGTGCTTGTATATCAGCCGCAGAGGAATAGCAACGCTGTACAAATCTCTGCGCGTACGAGGAGTACCGTAGAGAGGAGTAATGACTGCAGAACGACACCGAGTAAAAGCATGAGAAAGCTGCCCCATCGACGTCACGAAGGCGGTTTGAGGCGCCGCCTTTATACGCGGAGATACCACATCCATGTATCATCGCAGGCGAGATGTACGCGACTGCATGCTTCTGCCGAGTGGAGCAACGCGGACATTCGATCCCAAGTTGTCAAGCTGTCTTATCTGTGGTCATACACTGGGTGTGAGGGCTGTCGTTCAGGTACAGATGCGTCGCAGCCGCGATTCCTTTAGCCGACAGAGTCGAGCGACCGGTCTCAAGTCAATGGAAACGACGACCGAGGCGGCTTATAAGGCGTCCAAGGTAATGCCTATGTGCTGCACTTGGTTGCGGACCACGCTGGAGGCGCGGTGGCACCGGACTGGACGTCGGCGAGCACAGCGCCAAGCGGAAATCGGTGCAGCGGCGCGGGCCACCTAACGTCCGTCGTTGGAACCATATAATCTACCGGGACGTCAATGTGGCCTTCCAGAAGCTTGAACTTTGTGAGGGCCATCGTCCATTTAACCCAATCAACGTCGTCCTCATCCTTCGCTTCTGAGGCGTGAACCTTGGATGCTTGCGGCAACTCGGTCGGGGCGTCCACCTCGGTGGCTGGCGCGGTCGAGAACCACTCGAACTGAAGCGCCTCGAGCTCTCGCCGCCTCGCATAGACCATCGCGGCGGGTGGCACTTGACGCAGCCATTTGACAACGGCGCCGAGGGGCATGCCAGCAGACGCCGGTGGCCAGCCCCCGCCGGACGGCACAACAAAGTCGCTTGGCACGCGCAGGTGCTGGTGCAGCACGAAGTAGAAGGCGAGGGCCGCGCGCTTGGCCGACCAGCGCGCGTCGAGGTCGATTTGGTGCAGTCGCACGGCCCGTTTCTGGGCGTCCGAGCGGAAGTCGTCGTGGACTGCAAGCAGCGTCGCAAGATGCCCCAGCGGTTTTCCGGCGACCGCGGCAGGCCACTCGAGCGGACACACAAACGCGTCATCGAACGGCGCATCGCGGTGCGCGTCACGCCACGTGGAGAGTGCGTGGAGCAGGTCGGGCCACATGGCTGCGAGAGACGGGTCCCACACAAAGCCAGTGTCATTGACGGTCGCGCGCTCAAGGGCGGAGAGGGCCGCGCCGTCGGCTCGCAGCGACGCCACAGCGTCACCGAGGGCAAACTGCCACAGTTGCTTGGGCCAGCGTGATGAGGACGCCGGCACGACAAACGTAGGCGGGACCAGCGAGTCACCGAACACGTTCACATACCTCTTGAGACCCACGACGAGACGATCCAGGTGCGACAGGTCGGGGCGTGCGGCCATCTCGTAGATGGGCTCGATGCTTGGCCGATCAAAGCGGCCTGTGGACTGCCGGTGCAGGAGCAGGTAGTGCCCCAGACGGAACCCGCGCCACTGGACCGGCATCATGGCGTCGTCAAAGGGCACGACGTAAGACACCGGGACGTCGTCATGGCCGTGCACGGATGCGAACGCGGCTTTGGCCCGCAAGACGGTCCTCCACGACGTGAGTGTGTCGAAAGCAAACTTGACGGCGGCGAGGTCGTCCTGGCGGTGCGCCGGCAACTGCACCGAGAGGAGCCACACGCGGCGCGCGACCTCGCCGAGCTTGACACCGTCGTACCTCGATGGCCACACTAGCGCTCCGTCGGCACTGCGCTTGCGTGTGGCGTGTACGACATAGTCGACGGGCACATCAGCGGCGCCGTTCATGTTCTTGTAGATGTCAAGCATTTCGATCACGTCGGCCCAGAGCGGGGCGTCGAGAACGAGGCCGAGGCCATGGGCCGTCGTATGCTCGGCCGTCGAGAGCGCGTATGGATGGACCTCGAGTATGTGCAGCGCGTGGGCGAGGTCGACGTTGCGTAAGGCTGTGGGCCACGAGGTGTCGTCCTTGGGCACGACAAACCCTTCGGGCACGCACACGTGGCCGTGCAGCGCGTGGAAGCGCTTGAGTGCCTCCAGCACATACTGATACGCGGTCATGTGCTTGAGCCCCGTCGACGTGTCGAAGCAGCGCGCAATGGCTCGATCGTAGCGCTTGAACCAGACAAAGCCGAGGTTCTCCAAGGCGTCTTCGAGGTACGGCTCGAGCCGGACCATGAGGCTGCGCAGCGCGTCCGTGTCGCGTCCGAGCGCGGCGCCGCGCAGCCGACGCGGCCACGGGTCAGCGTGTGGTACAACGAACCGGTTCGGGACCCAGCTGTGGCCAAAGCACGCGCGGTAGACGACGAGGCCTTCGATGCGCTCCTGCAAGGTCAATGGGGCCATCGCACAGGCGCTGAGTGGCGGTAGCACATCCGATTTCAGAGGTATTTTTTTACTCTCCAATATAATACCTATCAAAGTATCAAGTGGATTCAGGGATTCAGAGGCAGACGAGTGGCGTCCCAAGAGCTTGCGATGGCTTCGTGCACCGCGACCATAACGAAGCAAGACGCCAGCAAAGAGCAAAAGGAGAGAGCGAGATGACCACCAGTGGTTCGAGGTTCACCGTCCCGAGCCGCGGGCAGTACATTGCCCAAGGACGTCGACGCAATTCGCATGCCGAAGCGCGGAAGCCGGCGACGTAATGAGCCTCTTGCATGCGCCGGCGACGACAGAGCGGACGATCAAGATGCTTGCTGAGGTGCTTGGCTCTTCTGCTGCACAAGCGAGCACTACGATTTACACTATTACACTATACTCTGGTGGAACTGCCCACAATTCCAAGGATCTCATGCGATCATAATATAGTGAATGAGAAAGACGCTCTCCAAGGATGTTGGCCGCAGCGCCAAGCAGCTCGTGCCGCACGAGGCGCCAATCGTAGCATACCCATGTGTAGGCAGTAGACGCAGTAGCAGCTGACATCGCTGCTTTCCTCCGTGAGTGATGTTGGTTCGTAGCCGATATGTCGTAGTCGATGCTCTGAGAGCTGCGCGAAAGCAGCTCCTTTAAAATGACCTCGGCAGCTACGCGTACAGCGTCTGTAGCAACGGATGGCGGTCATCGTGACCGCGAGATTGGGCTCGTCAATCTGCAAGCATCGTCGTGCTAACTTCAAGGTCGCGAGAGCGTATTCACACTATTTGGTTTGTGAGAAAATGGAAATACTGTGACCGTGCACGCGCAGAGATCATTCTTGGAAGCATGAACGTCGTGGCGACGTCCATCTCGGGGCGCAGCGTGCAGATGGTCGTGAGCGACGCGGGCGACCAGGTCGTGTGCGTTGAGCGCTCCTTCGCCGCCCTCGAAGGCCTCCACGCGAGCCTCGTCACCGCTTGCGACAGCATCCCGAGCTTCCCGCTCTTCCCGGGCATGCCCACGGACGCTGCGCTCACGCACCTCTGCGCCGAGCTCAACGACTACTTTGCACGTACGCTTCTGCGATAGCGCTTGTGGCCTACCATACGCCTATGCTAGATGGGTCTGTGAAGGCGAGCGCCGAGCTCCACGCGCTCCTGGCCGACGACCTATGCCATGGCACGGGGCACATGACCGCGATCGACTTTCTCCTGCAGCCCTTCGAGTACGAAAAGGTTCGCGACGCATGGCCATCGTCTGCGAAGATGACGACAACGATGCTGCTAAGTAGGTGGTCATTCCGCGCGGCTCCAAGCACGACGTGCAGCTGCAAGTGACCAACAGCAGCCAAGTGTTGGTGTGGAAGTTTGAGGTCGAAGACTTTGACATTGACTTCAACGCCGACTTTCACGTGCCCACGCCCATGTACACAGAGGTCTTCCACGCGACGACGCGGTACGCCGATGCGTCAACGCGCCTCCTCGCATGCAGGTTTGTGCTAGGTACCAAACCACCGTCAAGCCCGTCGAAGGTACGGCGACGACGATGGCCATCGCAGGATGATGATGACGGACCGTGACTAGGCATGTACCGCTGCCCAAAGCCGGGCGTGCTTACGCTCTCATGGGACAACACGTACTCTCGCCTCCGCGGGTACGCGCGCTGTCGCTCGTCCAGAGGCTTGAGCTCTGCTCGCATAGAAAGACCGTGCATTTCGTCGCCCACGTGGTCGAGAAGAGCTCGATGGAGTCGGCGCTTCTCGCCGCCGACGCCTTGACCCACGTACGCACGCTTGCGCTTGCGAGGAGGCTCATGGTGCAATGGCAGGCGCTGCAAAATGGACCAACGAGCAACTTTCTGCACAAGAAGGCGCTGCCAACACCAACACCCATGTCGTCGCCGGCACTCGCGTCGCTTCTACCGCGCTACGCCCTCAGCAGCATGCCATCCTTGGACCTCAATGGCCACTGGCTCGTGTCCGGCCTTGTGAGCACCACCATGGCGACCGCCTCCAAGCTCTTTGGGTCGCGACCAGCGCTGCCACCGGCCGCCGCGCCGCCAGCGACCAAGGATGGCGAGCCCGACTCGATTGGCAATAGCCTCATGGAAGAGCTCAATGGCCTCAACATGCAGCTTCTTCAGCGCGTGGTAGACGCATCTTATGGTCGCCAAGGACGCCGCAGACGACGCATGTATCCTAGGAGTCGCTCGAAGATGCACTTGCGCGGCTTGCAGGTAGACTCTTATCGTGATATCACGTTGCTTGAAGACGAGCTAGTCGAGCGCGACCAGGCGCTCTCCCGCGTGCAAATGGCCACAGCACGACACGTACGCCGTTCTCTTTAGTGTCAGTCGGCTGCAGATCGATGCAGGAATCGGAGGCGGCAGTATCGCAAGAGAAGGACGGGCGTCTCGAAGCCCTCCAGAGCGAAATCGACGTACGTTTCGAGTTTGGATATGAGAGCCGCTTATGTGCGTCTAGCGACTGCGGCGGGAGCGACAGCAGTGGCCCGCAATCCAAGCCGAACGGGACGCACTCTTGCTGGAGAAGCACCGCTGGGCGATGGTTCGATCCGCATCTGCCATTCGGTTTGTGTATCGACCCATGATAGATTGACGAGTTTGATACGTACGTTGACCCGCAAGACGACGCGGGTCGAGGGGATGTATCGCCGCCGTCGTCACCAACGTCCCAGAAACTCTCGGACGACGCGCGAATGGCGCTCGAGAAAGAGCTCGGCCAAGCCGAAGTCGCGCTCATCCGGCTGCGCGCGCAGCTCGGCTACTCGTTGCAGCAAGTGATCCCCAACACACGCATCGAGCAGCTGGCCAAGGTGCGTTCGACTCGTCAACCGAACCCGTCAACATGATCATGGAGTAGGACCTCGCCGTCGCCAAGACCGAGTACGACGCCGAGCTGATCGAGCACCGCAACACAATCCAAGATCTCAACCAGCAGGTACATACAAGGCTTGGACCATGGAACGTCTACAAGAGAGTGCACAGATTCTCAAGTACCGCAGCCACAAGAAGGTGCTCGTGACTGAACTTCGCAACGTCAAACGCCAGACCGACGGTAGGATTCCTGCTCGCGTCCGTTGTACTAGGCCTCTGTGGCTCTTAGGCCAAGTCGCAGTCGCCCTCGCCGAAGCCCACGAAGCCCGCATGGTCAACACGCGCCTCAAGCGGCAAAACGAGCTGCTCCTGAGTCAAATGCGATCTCTTGTCGATGCGACGGCGCCTGTCGCGACGCCCGCGCCAGTCGATGTGCCGACAACGCTGACGGCCCAAGACCTGGCGATGCTCAATGGCGAGCCGTATACACCGGCGACGGCGAAGGCGACGACGGCAACACAGCGCGCGAATCTTCGCCCGAACCCGTTCCGAGAAAAATTGACGGCGTTCTTCACAGAGTACGACCCGGCGCAGCTGGAGCACGTGGAAGAGATGCTCGAGAGCTACCGCGGGGTCGAGGCGTCGCTGCTCGAGTCACTCGAGCTCAAGTACCGCTTCCAGGAACTCAACGCCGCGTACCAGGGCGAGCTCATGTAAAGTCAACTTGATAGTTTTCGCTTGCAATGAATATCCGGATACGTACACCATTCATGTATATAACCCAAGCTTTTGCGAAACATGGGCGAACACCTCTATAAAGTAATATACATGTACTCTATAAATGATATCGTAGGCACGCTGAAGCGCGACGGGAAAGAGGCAATAGGACTTGACAAGTAGCGCGGCGACACAAGAGAAATGGAGAATATACAATAGTGTGCATGTTAGTAGTGCTACTCTCACTTGGGCTTCAGCATAATGTCGTAAAACGTAATGTAGCTCATCTCATCGACACGACCATTCGTCAGGTGTCATGAATTGCATCATGGTCTTCGAAGCGTCCAACTTTTCGACCGTAGCCCTTGTCAAACGCTAACACCAATACTAGTAGTCAATGAGGTGAAGAAAGCTTTTTGGACTGTACGTACAGCGTGGTGCAGAGATCTTGCGGCATGTCGGTATGTCCCTGGCTTCTTTGTGAAGGTACACAAGGGCGCTCGACGCGTTGAACATGCGACGCTGATGTACGTTGACGGGGTACGAGCGGCACACTGCGCTTGTCGCACTTGATGGACATGAACCACAAGTAGGCTCGAGCGACGTCTGCCGGAAGCGGCAAAGTGACGCTGTAGTTACTGACGAGCGTTGAGCCACTACACGAAGCGCTTGTTCAAGGCATTGTAGCGATTCACGGTGCTCTTGACACGGCAACCAGCAATGATGCCGGCGCCCGTCTCGTCGCCGTCGGAATCTGCCGCGTCTCGCGGAGCGGTACAATCATCCTTACAATAGAGGCTTGTTCAGTTGTAATACGACAACACGGACATACGCGTACCTCGAATAATGCTACCTTCGAGGCGGCCTTCTGTGACTGCGGGATCGCCACCGCTGACACGTGCTCGGCCGTCGCCGGCTCGGGCTGCTCGGCGACGGCAGTCGCTCGCGCCACCTTGGCCTTCCGATGCCTTTTCGCCGGGCGTGCGCTATCCAGCTCGATGGACACGTCAACCACTGTCGTTGTTGGTGTTTCTGTGCTGCCACCGACCGTCGCTGCCGCCGTGGTCGTCGATCTCCCGCGCCGTTTCGGACGCTTGGCTTTGGCGCCCTGCCATTCTGATTCTGACGCCAAATGTGATGTGGACCACTTTTGCGCTGGATGCGTCCAATACAAATTGCAAGTGAATTTTCCTGATGTATCCGTAAACGTGAGGAATGTGAGATGGCCGCGCATCCCATACAAAAACCAAGTCAAACCACTGCCTTGCATGTAACATATCTCCGATTTGCGGAACAAAAAGTTGCGCTGGGGCTTGAGGCGCCGATGCAGATTGCCGGAAATATTCGTAAACCTACGGGATGTAAGCATACTCAAATATTGTAGACACCAAAATAGTGTACTCACGATTTCGGTTCTTGGAAGATCGCAAAACACGAAACAACATGGGAACGGTGGCCAGCTGGTGCTGCGGCGTCGCCGCCCCCGACCCGACCTGTGAGAGCTTATTGCGCTACTCCAAGGCGACCAACGTACCGGCGCTCGTCGAGATTGAGCGCGACGCCATGCGCGACTTCCACGCCAAGTTCCTCCTCGGGCGCAAGCTCGGCGCTGGCGCATATGCCACCGTCTACGAGTGCGGCGAGGTCGCGACCAAGAAGCAGTACGCGTGCAAGGTGTACGCACGCCACGGCCTGGACGCGGGCGCGCTCGAGTGCGCCTTGACCGAGCCGTACCTGCTCAAGCGCATGTACCACCCCGGCATTTTGCGCTGCCGCGGCTTTTACAAGGAGCCGACGACGTACGTGCTGGTCATGGAGGAGCTCACGGGCGGCGACATCTTTGCCAAGCTCCACGAAAGCAAAGAAAAGCTCACCGAGCGCGACATTTGCCGGCTCGTCAAGTTGCTCCTCGAAGCGCTGGCCTACATGCACGCCCGCGACGTTGTCCATCGCGACCTCAAGGTGCCAGGATCCCACTAGTATGTATGCGCGGTGAGGTTGATGCGATGAACCTACTAGCTGGAAAACCTCATGCTCGAGTCGACGGGCGAGAACGCAGCCCTCAAGATTGTCGACTTTGGCTTTGCCGTGCAGTTGCCGTCCAAAGACGCCGTCTTGACCGAGGTGCTCGGGACGCCCGGGTACATGGCCCCGGAAGTGATCCAGGGCCAGCCCTACAGCACGGTACATATGCTATTTACGATGTCGACAGTCGTATTGATATTGCATCGGTAGCCGTCCGATGTGTGGAGCGCCGGCGTCATCGTCTACACGCTCCTCTGCGGGTACCCGCCGTTCCACCACGACGAGATCCAAGACGTCCAGAAGCTCTTTCGGTGCATTTGCTACGGCTACTTCTTCTTCGACGTGCCGTACTGGGACGACATCTCCACCGAGGCCCAGGTATGTATCAATGTATCAACTCGAGTTGTGTCGTGAATAAGCGACTAGGACCTTGTGCGACGTATGCTGCGCGTCACACCCGCCGACCGGTGCGACGCATCGTTCTGCGACTGTAGATTCTGATTGCTTATGGACTATTGATAGCGCGACGGCCGCTGCGCTGCTCGACCACCCGTGGTTCAATGTCCACGCGGCGCTGCCCGAGACCAAGACGGAGCCGCTGGACGTGCTCCGGGCGCTCAAGCCGCTGCAGTCGTTCCAGCGCATCATGAAGTCGCGGCTGTCGGCCAACCACGCGCGCGACCACGCGCACGCAATGGCTTCGCTGGTCGCCTCCAAGCTGTCGCAGGTCGAGGCGACGACGGCACCGATCGCGATCGACCTCCGCCGCTCGACGCTGCTGCCGACGGCCCGCGGCGGCATGGCGCCACCGACGCCGTAATCACACTTACGGAGCTTGTCTTTGCATTACTAAACTTCCTCGGCATCGAGGCAGAGCTAGCGTGTGCGCATGGTGCAACGAGGACCGCAATACGAGCATCCGCTGCGATCTCATGCTTCCATCGACGCAGTATCACGCGCTGGTGCTTGGACATCACAAGCGCATGCCAACACTGTCTTGCTGCTGGAGGCGCTGCAGATCTCTCGTCATGCAGTGCTGCTAGCGCCATTGGTGCTAGTGTTGAAGGCCTGTAGAAAGTCCAATCTATCGGGGCAATGGTGGCTCAGAACTGATAGCGCCAAGCCAAACGCTTTTATTTAGCTACCCGAGCAGCTAAACATGCAAGAGACCGCCTCCAGTCAATGGTCTGCCAGACAGCCCTCCCTGACGTCACCAGCTCTCGAGCGCCCGTCCATGCACACGTTGACCAGACCGACTGTGGTCGGATCTTGACGGAATATCGCCTCCTGATTGGCTAATTTAAGCCAATGGCATCGCGCCAATCCGCCTGTCCAAAAAGACACGCCTCACAATCAACGATGCGCAGGGTGGCGACGGCCGCCATCGCGCTTGGGACGGTGGCGCTCATCGGACCCGTCGTCGTGCGCTGGCAGCCGCCGGCGCAGTGCCTCCAGACCCACGCATCTGATGACGCGTTGGCGTCCTACTTTGGCGTCGACGGCCTCGACAACGCGCTCTGCATCATCGGTCACTTCTTCCAACAGAGTCAAGCGTTGCCGTCCGAGCCCGTCGCCGACATTGTCAGCGCACTGCTCGTCAACTGCGTCGCCGCTATGGTGCTCTTCATGGGCTTCGAGTCCACGCGCCACGGAGCGCGCGGGCCGGTCGCGTGGCCAGCCTTCATTGGCACGGCGTACCAGTGGGGTGGCATCTTCTTCGCAGCGTCGGTGCTCTGGCTTCCGTCTTTCTTCGCATCGTACCCAGAGCCGCTGGCAACCACGCGCGCTCTCCCTCTTGGCGACACGACGCTTGCCTCGCGCGCGCTGCTCTGGTTCATCGGCCTCGGCACATGCGCCTTCGCCGTCGTCTTCCACGGCATGCATTTCGCCCATGGCCCTCTCTTTGCACACGCCTTTATTGTGTTTCAGTTCTGGCCGTCGCTCTTCCCGCTGCTCTATCCGGCAGTGCGCTGGTGGTCGCCGCACCCGACATCCGTCGCCGAGGCGGCGGCAGCATCGTCAACTGCGAGCTTCCTCTACCGTGCCTTTGCAGCGGCGCTCACGCTCCAACACTGGGGCACGCTCGCCATCGTTCTCGCCCACGCAGACGCTATGGACCTCGTGGACGGGTTCGCGAGCTTGGTGCGCACGTCCCCGCCGGACGCGAGCCTGATCCCATCGTGGTTCCTCGTGGTCGACGGCGTCTCTGTCTTTGCCTCGATGACGCTTCTCGTTGTCGCCGAGGCGCGCAACGGCGCGCGGACGTTCGCGCACTTGGTCCTCGCGAGCTTCTTGCTCGGACCGGGCGCCGCCTTTAGCCTTCTGTGTGCGACGCGCGAAGATGCCATTCGGTCGACGCACTTTAGCAAGACGAAGCGGCCGTAGGTAGCATACGAGAAGGCGTTAAATGTAACAATGCGCCACGTTTTATTGACACTTCTGTTGGTTTGCCTCTTGTAATGTGTAGCCACAGTCGGTAGCCACAGTGTCCGGCGATCAATCCTGCTCCCAGCCCACGCAACGTCCACGCTGGCAGTGACGGCTGAGGTGCATCGCTGTCGTGTCGGTCGCGGCCGTCACGTCGACTTAAACAAACGCCTCTGCTCTAGACGCCATCCAATACAACGTCTGTGACGATCTTGGCCACGCAGACCGGTCACGTAGCCTAGCCCTCGTCACTAATAACTGCTAATTTCCCAACTGCAAAACGGACAGAGTGCGTAACCTCTGGAAGGATGCCGTCCATGGGCCGCGAGGAGCCACCGGCGTTCGACGCTGGCGACGACCTCGACCTCTACGACGCAGCAAATCCGTTTGATGACGAGCCGGCGCCCAAGACGGCCGTCAAGCCCGACAACCAGCACCGAAGTCCCAAGAAGCCGACGACTACCAAAGACAAGGCCTTTGACTTTGAGCAGTGGGTCGCTCGCAAGGACAAGTACGAGCGCGTGCTCCAAGCCCTCCATGCGCTCTCGACCGACCGCGCCGCGTCCGAGGCGTCGTGGTTCGACGTTGCTGTCGCGTTGGCGGCCACCGACTGCCTCCTCAAAGTCGGCCGCACCGACGCGTGCGACTGCGACGGCGTCTGCCACGAGCCTGGTCACGCGGTGTCGCGCCAGCGCACTCGGTGCCAGTGCCCCGCGTCCAAGTGTTCGATCTGCAACCGCTGCGTCGGCACGACCGTCGGCGTCATCTCGGACAAGATGACGGACGTCCTCACGCCGTACCGAAGCAGCAGCGATGAAAGCACCATGGACATTGCGACGCGCGTGAGCAGCATGGGCGAAGGCCGGCTGCTCAACAACCTCAAGATCTCGGGGCTCGCTCTGCGCATGGCCTCGACCGTGCTCAGTCAGTGCAGCGTGCTTCTCGGCCCCGACGGCGCCAAACTGCAGCGACCGTGCGCGTGTCCGCTGCGGTCGCTCGGGGACCACTGGGTGCGCTGGACCAAAGCCAACCACTCGTTTGAGAAGGTGCGGCTCACGGAAGCCCAAGCCAAGAAGTTTGGCGGCGCGACGCGGCAACTCATGGAGCTCGTCGAAGGCGAGAACGTCTACCTCCTCACTATCAAGTGGCGCGTGGCGGCCAAGCCGCAGAAAGGCGACACGGCCAAGATAGCCGCTCGGCGGTGTCTCTCGGCCGACGAGAAGAAGCTCAACGCGGTGCGAGGCTCCATTGGTTGGCGCTGTTGACTTAGGATATGGGACTAGATCTTTGTGTCGCTCTGCAAGAAGTTCTGGGTCAAGGCGCAGCACCGCGTGGTCGAGATCCTTCAAGACAAGATGACGTCGCTACTGGAGAAGCAGGCCGCGACGACGCTCCTGCCCGGGCAAACGCACAAGTCGCGCGCCGAGATGGAAGTGCAGATCCTCAAGCTCCACGGTGTCCAGAAAATGCTATCGTGGGTCGAAGCCGACGCCGATGCCATCAAGGACAAGGAAGATGAAGTCGAGAAGGAAAAAGCAGAGGAAGGCGCCCTCGCGCACAACGTCTGCGATATGTCCTATCGACGCACGCTCAGCTGCACTGCTGCGTAGGCGTGGCTCAAGCGCAAGGACCGGCTGCGGCTCAAGCTCCCGTCAAATTCGAGTGCCGAGCCCGCGCTTCAAAAAGCAGCTGGAAGCCTCCGCGGTTTGATTTTTCCACCAACGGCCTCGTCCGGCCCAAGAAGGTCGACATTCCGTCGTGCACCATCGACATGATGAAGCGGAGTGGCCTCAAGTACGTGCATGCGATGAGCGAGGGCTTCCAGGGCCGGGGCGGCGACCTCGACAAGTGCCGCGAACTCCTCCTCAAACAAGGCCACGTCATCAAGGCCAATTTCGCCAAGGACCCCGACAGTACCTTCTCGGAAGATCGGTACCACTTTGAGAAGCAGAACGCGCCGAAAGCCAAGGGCAATCCTCGATCGGGCATGTCCAAGGAGGCCTTTGCGGCCTGGAGTGCCCACAAAGCGCTCAAGGACAAGGCGCTCACGTTCCTCGACGCGACGCCAAAACCAAACGACGTATCGGACAACGCGTCGGCGCACTGGGAAGAGGTCGGGCGGGCGCTGAAGGCCGTCGACCGCGGCTTGCTACTCTCGTGGATGTCGTGGTCGGACGGCTTTATGAGCCAAGGCCGCTGCCGCGTGCTCTGGGAGAGCTTCCCGCCGATCGCATGCGACGTCCACGCGACCTCGTCGGCGCTCCGCGACGTCTTTCTCAAGCTCCTGCACCGCAAGGACGTCGACTACAAGGCTGCGTTCCTCGCGTTTGCCGAGAAGCAGCACAAGAAAGCAGTCGCGGACGGAAATGCGGACGACGAGATGAAGGACGAGGACAAGCTCGCCACGTATGCGACGATGAAGCCGATCGACTTTCACAAGTTTCTCAAGTCGCTCGGCATCGCGCTCACGCACGACGAGCGCACGCGCGTCGTTGAGTTCTTTGACGCCAACGGCGACGGTGCCATCACGATCAAGGAGTTCCTCGCCGTCACGGGCGACCGCCGACCGGCGCAGTGCCACGGCGACACGGAGATCGCGCTCAAAGACGTGTGCATGTGGGAGACGGTCTGCCACGAGTGCGGCATGCTCAACGCGTTCCAGGTCTCGTCGTCCGAGCGGGGTCGGGTCCGCACCGAGCTGCCCGCGCACAGCAAGCGACGCCAGCTCGCTCGGTTCGGCTGCAAACCCATTCTGCCGCTGCGCGAGGTCAAGGAGTCGGCACCGTACGCGTGCGACGCCGCGGGCTGGAGCGATCAAAAAGCCGCCGGTGGCGTCGCCGTCCTCGATCGGCTCTCGATCGAACACCGTGAGCGCCGGGCGCTGCACAAGCTCGTCACCGACGGCGCGCCGCCCGAGCTACCAGTGCTCTTCCGGGACGACGACGAGGCATTGGACCCGACGACGATGCTTCTACTGCGGTGGCACCCGCCACCGGTGCGCGGCAACAACGGGCCGGCGTTCTACATCCTCGAGACATCCGGCGCCGAAGGCAGCGCGAGCTTCAAGCAGAACGTCTTCTCGGAGCTTGTGCGGGACCCCAAGGACTTTAGCGACAACCAGGGCGAGCCGCGGTACCACTACGTCGTCACCAACTTGGTGCCCAACACCAAGTACGCGATGCGACTCCGCGCGCTCAACGCGTTTGGTGCTGGACCGTACGCCTTTGGGTACAGGATGCCTATGGATTCCGGGTCGTGCTCACAAAAAACTAGGTACTTTACGACGGTGCCGCGCGTGCCACCGGCGCCGATGGCCGTCAAGGTGACACCGACGACGATCCACCTCTCGTGGAACTCGTCGGCGTGGTACGACGCGCAGCTCAAGGAGCTCCGCGCGGTCTTTGACGAGGCCGACGTCGACGGCAACGGCGAGATCTCGCGCGACGAGTTCATGGAGGAAATCGAGAAGCGCAAGCCCCGCTTGCTCGAGTTTCTTCAGAAAACGTCGGCGACGACCGAGGCCCCGGGCGTGCCGCTCAGTGTCTTTGACGCGATCGAGACGAACGACAGCAACACGCTCAGCTGGACCGAGTTTGTCGCGATGTTCAACAGCCACCTCGACGACCTCCATGCGTTCGACGACGACGCCAAGTCGGTGGCGTCGTCCAAAACGTCGCGCAAGGGAAAGCCCGCCGCCGTGAACGGCTGCCGCTACGTCCTCAAGCAGTGCGTGCACGAGGCCGACGGTCAGTACGAGGAGATCTACCGCGGCAGCAAACCGTCGTTCCTCGTGCACGGCCTCACGCCTGGAACGGCGTACCAGTTCCGGGTGCAGGCCATCAACGCCGACGACCAAGCCTCGCTGCACAGCGCACCGACGATCGTCAACACGCTCTTGCCAACGCCGGCGGCGCCGGTGGCCACGGACGTCGGGGTGACGGACGCCGTCGTGAGCTGGACACCTGGTGACGCGAC